AAAACAAAAAAAACACAAAATCAACTAGAGGTAAAAGTGCATATAGGTTGAATAATTAGACATGAAAACTGCTTTAGTTTATAAACACACACACTAGCTAACTGAATAGAGTTTTTAAAGATAAGCAAAGATGATGCTTACTGCCATTTTCATTATCAAAACTACTCAACTTGTTAAGCCCATTTCTCACCTGGACTACTGCAAAATCCTCCTAACTAGTCTCCAACTTCAGTCTTAGACCTCCAACAAAATCTATTTTCTAGACGCTACTAGTCTTGCCTATGTAAGACAGAAATGTGACCAGATCTTTCTCCTGTTTAAAATTCTGTAATGGTTCCCCAGGAAACAAGGTAAAATGTGAGCTCTGTAGCATGGAATATAAGGCCCTTTATGACCTGCTCCCTGCTTACCTCTTTAGCCTCTTCTGCTATCTGAGTTTCCAACCTACATTATGCTATTATCTTCTCTGCTTTCAAATCACATTTGCCTGTATTCAGCTCCACAAATGTGCTATGATCTCCCCTGTACCTGGGCCACTGAAATGCTTTTCTAAGCATAAGACACAGTTTTTAATTACCCAAATTCTCCTATTTTCACTTACTTATCCTTTAGTTATCAGCTGTAACATCACTTCTTTAGGAAGCCTTCCCAGAAATGACATTTTATTCTATCCCAATTATCACTTTCCACAGTTTGTAATTGTATGTTGTAGTTTTTTATGAGTGCCATCATGGCAGGGACACCATCTGCCTTGTTTATCAAGAAGTCTCTGCTAACTCAGAGTGCATAAGATACAAAATTAGCAGGGATGTGAAAAAAAGATTTATTCAGTCAAGTTGCTATATAAAAGGTATAATTTCTAATTTTCTTTATTTTTGCAGTGACACTGATTAAAACCAATAATGAATAACTGAAGATACTCTAGAGTCTTTTTTAAATAAAAATATTACCTGTTTGTTTAGTAAGGACAACAATAAGGGATGGAAATATGAGTAAAATAAAATTAGTATCTCTAGATCAGGCTTTATATTAGAGCTGGCAAAGATCTTAAGGTCACTGTAATTTTTTAAAATAAAAACAGTCTTTTTCCCTTTTATCCTTCTGTTTCAATATGATAGACCAAGCATATATTGTAGCTCTCCCCTCCTACACCATGTTCATCATGGAACAAAATCTGCAAGGAATGCCCAAAGATGAAAAGCAATTAGCATAAAACTAGAGAAACAAACAGCAGTTTAGGTTGCAGGCAGGAGAATGCAAGTGCAGATAGATTTCTGTATTCACACAAGCATGAAAATGCACACACATCTACATTCCTAATTCTCATTCCAATCCCTCAAGGCCCTGCCAGAGGTGTTAGCTTCCTGGGAGGCTGAGTTGGAAAGGGAGAAGAGCCCCAAGAGTAGGAGGAATCAAAGAGCACCCTACCCCCCAAACATTTCCTCTTTTTTTTCTCTCAGTCTAACTGAAAATTACGCACTCCTAAATATCTCCCTGTAAATGGGCTACATACCAGGGACTCTAGATGTTCTACTCTCAACTACAAAGTTGAAAGCAATTCTCACCAACTTGCTTTACAAATTCAAGGCAATTCCAATCCAAGCATCAACAGGTTTTTTTTTTTTTAAGTACATGATAAGCAAAGTGTAAAATTTATACAGAAGAGTCAAAAGATCCTGAAGAACCACCTGGTACCAGATTTGCTCTATAAGGTATTAAGAATTATAAACTGTAACGATTAAGGCAATATGGTATTAGTGTAAGTACAGACAAATGAGTCAATTCAATAAACAGAAGAAAACACAGAAACAGATCCTGTCATGGAAAGCTGACAGATAATGGTTAATATTGCAGGTCAGTGTGGAAATGATAAAAATTTCAATAAATGATCTGGGACACTGGGTTAAAAAAAAATAAAGTGAAAATAGATCTCCCTTTACAGGTACACAAAAATCTAGGTAGTTCAAAGGTTTAAACTGTAAAACTTTTAGAAAAACCTAAGAAAATATCACTTCTAGTATGGCAAAAATTTCTTAAAACACAAAGTTTAAAAATGAATTGATCGATTTAACTACACCAAAATTAATAATCTATATTCATTGTAAGATACCACTGAAAGGGTGAAAAGGCAGTTTGCAACCTGGAAAACTATATTTAGTAACACATAGTTGATGAAAGGTTAGTATACAGACTATAATGAATGTTTAACAGAAACAATAGAAATCTGGACTAAAAGGTATGTCACAGAAAACACAAATGAGTAGTAAATTAACATATGAAAGACAATTTCCTAAGTCATCAGGGAAATCCAGATTAAAACCACAATGAGATACCACTGCACACCTCCCAAAATGGCAAAAATTAAATCCCGTAATACAAGAATCTGCAAGGATGTTCAACAATGGAACATATGTGTTCTGTGAGTGAGAAAGAACATTAAAAAAAAACCAAAACTTTAGAAAATAATCTGTTAAACATAATTAAGTCAAACACAGGAACACATATCCTTTAACCTAGCAATTTTACTTCTAAGTATTGAATACATACCTCAGCTTAGTTCAGTTCAGTTGCCCATGGACTGCAGCAAACCAGGCCTCCCTGTCCATCAGGGACAGGAGTTTACTCAAACTCATGTCCATTGAGTCAGATATACCTCAGAGCCACCTTTAAATCTTTGGCCAGGACCCACACCAATACATTTTACATCCTGACTCAATGAACACACAACTGAAAAGTTTCATGCAACTTTTGTAATAACTCCATTTATACTCCATTTCACTTAGTGTCATTCACTATATATATTTCATAACCCACTATTGCAGTGGGTTGCACATTAGAAATATGAGGTATTAAAAAAGTTAAAAGCAAAACCAAAACTGATGTTCAGGTGAACTCATGAAGACTGCTTCAATGGTTTTTGATGAAATGCTCTGTTGCATTTATGTAAATGTATGTTCAATTTGCTCACAAGCCCTACCACGCTACCATTTACCCAAAATGCTGGACTGTCCACACTCTCTCGTTCATTCTGTACTCTTCCTCTTTCCAAGGCTGTCCCCAAGTACCTTTTAACCTATTGTGAGCATTCTCCTACCCCAATTTTGAATTCTGCTTTCCACAGGCAAGTAATTTCCACTCTCTGAGCAACTACTTGTGGTACTAACCTCCATACATTTTTTTTCTAACCTCTTTAATTATAAATACTGTGTTTACACTGCCTCTTCTCATGCTTCCTTTTTGGTTCATTTCCCAATTTCCCTGTTTAACTTTCACTTCACTCAGTCTAAGCATGTACATATTTCATTCTCAAACATGCCAAATATACATGCTACCACTTTTGCTAAATTAATTTTAAAAACACGCTTTCAATGAGGCTTTTCAGTTACAAACACCCATGAAATCAGAGGAAATTTAGAGATATACATTAAAATGAAGTTTTTCAACTGTCCAATGATTATATCCTGCCTGCATATCTAAATTCTTAGAGAATTCTTAGATTCTCTAAATTCTTAGAGACTTGATTCCATATTAACTATATCACCTCATTCAAATTTTCACTGATTATGTATTTTCAACTCAAATTAAATATATTTATTATTATATACAAAGCACTGTTTTACCTCTCCATGTAAACTTACACATACAAGTGGAAAAATATCTTTATGTCCACTTTACTAGCTGCCAGTGTCATACATGCCATGCTCAGTATAATAATTTCTAATCTTTATTCTAAAATCCATTACCAGTTCATAATCCCCTGCATGCATGCTAAGTCGCTTCAGTTGTGTCCAACTCTGTGTGACCCCATGGACTGCAGCCTGCCAAGCTCCTCCGTCCATGGGATTCTCCAGGCAAGAATGCTACAGTAGGTTGCCGTGCCCTTATCCAGGGGATCTTCATGACCCAAGGATCAAACCCATGTCTCTTACGTCTCCTGCATTGGCCAGTGGGTTCTTTACCACCTGGGAAGCCACCCTTTACCACCTAGCATCACCTGGGAAGCCCCCCTCTGCAAATTCTAAAATCCATAAAGCTCTGAAAACCAAAAGCTATTTCCTTAGTTTGACACCAAAACAAATTTAGTGAATTTAACTTATGTAGACAATTTACGGCCTTTATCCTATTTTGCATGACTAGACCAGTGGTTCTCAACTGGAGACAAGTTTGCCCCATAGGGGAATCTGGCAATGTTTGGAGAAATTTTCAGTTTTTACTACTGGGTAGGAGGTGCTACTTCTAACATCTAACACATGAAAGTTAGGAATGGTGCTTAACATTCTACAGTGCACGAGGCAGACCCCTGCAACAAAGCATGATTTTGCTCCCAAATGTCAACCTTACTGAGGAAGAGAAACAATGGACTAAATTCTTGTTTATGGAAGATACATTAGTATGTTGATTACTGAGTGTTGCCTCAGAAGAATCTGAGGGTGTTATAGAATACATGATAAAAAGACATTATCGGTACTACTCAAAACTCAGAAAAACTTTAATTCCAAACCAAAGCTAACGCCTGAGATTGCAGACAGGAGACTATAGACTCTATACTTCCATTCTTCTATTAAGTCTTTCTCAAATATCATGATTTGCATTAAAGCTGGGGAGACATGAACTATGGTACAAGTCTTAGAAAATGAAGAGGAGATCAGAAATTCACTGGACCTAACAAGCAGGGTGAGCAACAACTTTTGTTTTATTCTTTTCTATTACAGTTTAAAACAAACTAGTCTTTCTTTCTTTTTTTGAGTGCACAGCGCAGCTTGCAGAATCTCAGTTCCCCAACCATGTGAACTTGGCCCTCAGCAGTGAAAGTGCACAGTCCTAACCACTGGACCTCCAGGGAAGTTCCAAACTAGCATTCCTAATGGTGCCCATTTACTTCCATCAATTGTATGTTTATCGTTTGCACCATAAAAGACATCAGCTTATTATACTTAATTAAAGAAACATCAAAACCAAAACACAGTAAGGAGACTCTTGAAACCACAGTAGCTATTTACCTTTCTCCGTGCTTGAAAATATAGAGATGATTTTATTCCTGGGCTTTTTCTCCTCTGGAACGGAAGGCAAAGGTTTCAAACTGTGATTGGCTGATAGAGGGTCTTTGCCTCCAGTGCTAAAAATGGTACTGCTCATTCGCACTGGGGGTGCCGGAGGCTTGTCTTCCAGTTCTCCGTTATCAGACATGATTCAGAATTATGATATGGCCTGAAACAGACAGGCAAAAAATACAGTTAACAACAAGGTAAAAAATAGAACAGACAAGCACAAGACAGTAATAATCCCCTCCTCAGTTTCAAACTTAAAAAAGTTATTCATTTAAAGGTGTAAAACAAGAGATGAAATTGGCTGCAATCAGGCAATCTCCCGTAACAAAGTTGGTAAACAGGGAGCTAAGAGAATCTTTGAAAAGTCATATCCTGTTAAAAAGTGGACTAAGATAATTTTTGGAAAGCATGATGACACTGACATAGCAGAGAATACCAACTGAATAGTAAGGGCTAAGTGTTCCAATGAACAGACAGATAACATGGAGTCTTAAAAAAAAAGATTCCAAGAAGACTATGTCCTGACCAGGCAATAATAGGATATATGTCTCTGACAGGTTCACTTCCAGAGCAGACAGAATGCTTGCTATTAATTAATAAATACCAACCAATAGCCTCCAAATCTGATTCATGTTCACTAGCCTTGTGATTACAATTTAACCCCCATACAGACTTTGGTAAAGCACCAGAACATGCCACTGGTATAGTATGTCGTTTCTCTGAAAATTTGTGAACATCTAACCACATACGTTAGGCCTCTGCAAGTCAGGAAATACTGACAAAAGTAAATCCAGAGTTTGGCCAAACCCCAAGGTTCTGTCATCCTATGATGCCCTGTCCAGTCCGTCCAGTTATTCTCCTTATCCACATGGCTAATAAAGTGGAAATGTCAACTTTGTTTACATATACTTATACACATCTATTTTATGTTTTTTTTAAAAAGTAGATTAATTACACACATTTAAGGTCAGCAGTAAAAGAGAGGGGATGCCTAACTTACGAGTTCTGATACCAAACTGTAGAGCTAAGAAATAATACAATATCCTCCTAAATAAGATTTTAATTGGCAATTAGATCCTAATTTGAAAATAACACTACTTGATACATGTAAGCCAACAAAACTTTGTATATATACAATGAGAAGAATGCAACTGGTTTTAGATAAAATTAAAAATAATTTAAAAAAAATTTTATTTAGTCTAAAATGCTAGTAGGTGAAGAAAAGTAGATATAATTTGAGAAGAATTGAGGGATGAAGAATTATACCTAATTCCACTTCAAATTTTACAGCTTTTGTTTTCCTTGACAGGAGTAGGTCAAAGCACTACTGTATAATTTATATGTCATGTAACAGTTATTTTTCAGCCTACAAAAGAGAAAGAAGGTAAAAGGGGAAAATAAACATTTCTGGAGGTAACCAGCTGGAGAAAGGAGAAAGACTGGCTGAAGTGAAATTCAGCTACTGGTGATCAGAGAAATGAGGGTGCTTGCTATCTAAGAAGGCAGTGAAGATAACATACAGTCAGATGATTCTTCCGAACCAAACTAGTCACATCCTGTGGATTACTTGATGAATTGATAAACCAAGACAGATGTTCAGCTTTGACGTGACCAAACATTAAGACAAAACAGGTTAATCCTAGAGCAGCTCATTTTTTTTGCCTTTTTATACAAAAAAAGGCAGAGTGTTGAAGAATTGATGTTTTCGAACTGTGGTGCTGGAAAAGACTCTTACGAATCCCTTGGAAAGCAAGGAGATCAAACTAGCCAATCTTTTTTTTTCTTTTTAATTAATTTATTTAATTGGAGGCTAATTACTTTACAACATTGTAGTGGCTTTTGCCATACACTGACATGAATCAGCCACAGGTGCACATGTGTTCCCCATCCTGAACCCCCCTCCCCGCTCCCTCCCCATCCCATGCCCTAGGGTCATCCCAGTGCACCAGCCCTGAGCACCCTGTCTCATGCATCGAACCTGGAACAGCAATCCACTTCACATATGATAATATACACGTTTCAATGCTACTCTCTCAAATCATCCCACCCTCGCCTTCTCCCACAGATTCCAAAAGACTGTTCTTTACATCTCTGTCTCTTTTGCTGTCTCGCATATAGGGTCATCATTATCATCTTTCTAAATTCCATATATATGCGTTAGTATACTGTATAGGTCAAACCAGCCAATCTTAAAGGAAATCAACCCCAAATATTCATTGGAAGTACTGATGCTGAAGCTGATGCTCCAATACTTTGGCCACCTGATGCAAACAGGTGACTCACTGGGAAAGACCCTGATGTTGGGAAAGATTGAGGGTAGGAGAAGGGGACTACAGAGGATGAGATGGCTGGATGGCATCACCAACTCAATGCACATGAACTTGGGCAAACTCCGGGAGATGGTGAGGGACAGGGAAGCCTGGCATGCTGTGGTCTATGGGGTGGTGAAGAATCGGAAATAACTTGGCGACTGAACAACAAGCTCGCTTTTATCTTAATCACTAGTTACAACATGGAAACTGCACACTGAGATTGTGATTACACTGTGAATTGCTCCTGCTTACACAAGTTAAATTTAAAACTCAGGATAATATAACAAAACTCCAAAATCCAGCTGCATGCATTTATAGAAGAAAATGCACCAAAACATTAACAGTGGCCATCTGTGATTAAGAAGTAGTTTTCAAACTTGATTATCATCATCATCAAAGTGAAGTCGCTCAGTCATGTCTGACTCTTTGTGACCCCGTGGACTGTAGCCTACCAGGCTCCTCCTATGGGATTTTCCAGGCAAGAGTACTGGAGTGGGTTGCCATTTCCTTCTCCAGAGGATCTTCCCTACCCAGGGATCGAACCCAGGTCCCTCACACTGTAGGCAGACGCTTTACCGTCTGAGCCACCAGGGAAGTGTTATAATCATCATAGCTGTGGTTAAAAAAGGATCAGTATAAAACTGAGCACAATAATTACTAACTGTAAACTGACTACAACTTCTATCCTTAAGACTGGCTCATAAATGGAACATGACTAAAAACTGACAGTGCACCTTCAGCTGCATGCTGTCTGGTATTACGGTCATGAGCATAAGTGTGGAATCAGATTGGTTTGGTTGGAATCCTAGTTCTACCGTTTACTTAAGCATGTGACCTTAGGTCTAAGCTGTGCTTCAGAGTTTCTTGGAGAAACGGCTGGTTCTAGGCCTAGACAGGGAAAATATTATACAAGATGAGTCTACTGTATCTTATACTATCAAAAGATAAGGAAGTACTTATAAAGGATGAGGGCATGTCAAAGGGGCATAAGAAAGAGTTTCCCGAATACTAGAATACTGGAATGTTTGGTGCAATAAAATCTATAAGCTAATATGAGATTATAATCCAAAGTATAAAATCAATATACATCATTCATATAGACACAAAAACCTGAATACATAAATAAGATGGGGGAGGGGCAAATCTCCCTTACAGAAGAATTCCAAGTAACATATATATAGATACATTCCTTTCTAGGAGTTAGAACTTAACCTCCTGCTCCACCTAAGTGCAGGCTAGACTTAGTGACTCATTTCCAAAGAATAGAGTGTGGAAAGGAGAAAATAACACAGCAGAAAAATGTGGCATTAACCATGGGATCAAGGTTAAGATCACCAGTGATAACTCACAAGGACATCACTCATCTCCTGAGCTAATGTGATGGGGAGCACAATTCACCTCTGGTATTCTCCCCAAACCCGTAACTTCAGTCTAATCATGGGGGGGGAAAATCAGATAAACACAAATTAAAAGATACACTACAAAATTCCTAATCAATACTTCTCAAAACTGTCAAGGACATGAAAAAACAGACAGAGAAACTATCCTAGAACAGAGGAATCTAAGGAGACACGACACTGTGGTATCTTGGAATCAAAAAAAAAAAAGACATTAGTGAAAAAACTGGTGAAGTTCAAGTAAAATCATGAATTTACTTAATAATGTATCAGTGTTGGCATCTTTGCTTTGAAATACATTTTACATCTATGCAACATTAATATGAAGATGAGTGGTAGTTATACAGGAAATTTACTATCTTTGTAATCTCTCTGTAAATCTAGAATTATTCCAGAATAAGAACTCTATTAAAAAAGGAGTATAAATTCCTCAAAAAGTCAAATATAGACTAACCTACCATATGACCTAGCAATTCCACTTTCAGTATATATGCCTGCAAGAACTGAAAACATATGTTTGCACAAAAATGTGCATGTGAATGTTCACAGCAGTATTAATTGTAAAAGCCAAAAGAGGAAAGAAAAACAAAATATTAACAGATGAACAGAAAGACAAAATGTGTCTTACCTATATTACAAACAAAGGAATACTGTTTGGCCACAAAAAGGAATCAAGTACTGACACATGTTATGTGTGCTGTGTGCCTAGTCACTCAGTCATGTCCAACTCTTTGTGACCCCATGGACTGTAGCCCACCAGGCTCCTCTGTCCATGGGGATTCTCCAGGCAAGAATACTGGAGTGGGTTGCCATGCCCTCCTCCAAGGGATCTTCCTAACCCAGGGATCAAAACTAGGTCTCCCACATTGCAGGTTGATTCTTTACTATCTGAGCCACAAGGGAAGCCCAAGAATACTGGAGTGGGTAGCCTATCCCTTCTCCAAGGGATCTTCCTGACCCAGGAATCAAACCAGGGTCTCCTGCACTGCAGGTGGATTCTTTACCAGGGAAACCAATATATGCTACAACATGAAATAAACCTTGAAAACATAAATGAAAAAAGCCAGACACAGGAAGATCATAAATTATATGACCCCATTTATATGAAATGTCCAGAACAGGGAAATCCACAGAGGTAGAGAGCATATTAGTGGATGCTAAGGTGTGAGGGGAATGGGATGTGACTTTGTGGGGAATGAAAATATTCTGCGATCAGGCATTAGTAATGGTCACACAACTTTATGAATATGTTAAAACCACTGAATTGCAAACTTTAAAGTGGTACATTTCAGATATGTGAATTATATCTCAATTTTAAAAAGGAGCTATCTACCTGATAAAGATTATGCAGAGTTCCAAAGAATAGCAAGGAGAGATAAGAAAGCCTTGTTAAGTGATCATTGCAAAGAAACATGGAAAAACAATAGAACGGGAAAGATGAGGTCTCTTCA